TCCCTGTTGATTTTGCTTGTCAAAAGTTTGCAAAACATGATCACATGACCTTGGGACACAGCAATGGTCATAAGTATGAAATAAATTCAATAACTTAATTTATTCTATTTATGATACCGATAGTTCTTAATTTACAATAGTTCATTTAGTAACCAATCTAAAGTTACAACGGCACATAAGTGACTTATTACCAATTTTTACACTTACAACCTTATCCTCATGATTATGTGATCAAAATTCAGATGCTTGGCAACTGGTTCATACTTATGACCATTGCTGTGTCCCAAGGTCATGTGATCATGTTTTGCAAACTTTTGACAAGCAAAATCAACAGGGAGGCAAGATGCACTTAACCATGTTACTAACTTATAAACTACAGTGATTCAGTTAACAACTACGGCAAGAAAAATCGTAAAATGGGGCAAAACTCACTTAACAAATGTTTCACAACAAGAAATTTTGGGCTGAATTGTGGTTGTAAGTTGAGGACTATCTGCTGACATTTCGTGTTTCAATAAAGTACTTTTTTCTCTGGCAGGAAAGAATGTTGCATGTAATTTTGAAATGAAATGTGCCTAAATACATCTATTTTTATGTTTTAGGGAGAATTCCTCCTCTCCAGTGGAGTCTATGGATTGTATGGATACTGTGGAAGAACAGAGAGTTCATAGCCCTCCAGCATCATTAGTTCCCAGAATCCATGTAATTCTGGCACAGAAACTTCAGCACATAAATCCATTGTTGCCTGCTTGCCTTAATGAAGAAGAAAGCAAGAGCTGTAAGTATTTCAACTATTTACGGAAGATTACCTTGTTACTATCAGATGCCTGAATTGGATTTTATTGTTTCTACTTCTTTGTACACAAAAATGTCAGTTTGTTCCTACGTCATTAACATTTAAAGCATAAAGGACATTTGTAAACGTTGTATAAGCCATTTTGCCTCCCCTTTGAGTTATGTACTATGCTTCTCAAAGGGAAAAATCATCATAATACGTCACGAGACGGCAATGTGGCATGGCAAGTTTGATACCCGTCCATGTAATAATCAAAAAGTGTCCAGCTTGCTTGATAGTGATCCTAAAGAGCACAGGAAATTGTTCACTATAAGGCACCACCCTTCCTTTCCTCATAGTAGTAATGCTCTTGCCAAATACATCTCTGTGTACTGTATATACAAATATATTTCTGAAAATCCTGTAGACTACATGTATGTGACAACAATAGTGTTCCATTTTAGCTTGTAAAATTATTTCTACTTTTGAAGCCCAGGTTATCTATAAAGTGATTTATGGAAAAATTCTGAATATTTTAACAATTGCTCTAATAATATCTTTTAAAGAGAAGAGATAAAAAAGTAAATTATATGCACCTATCATAGATTAATGTGGCTTCCACTTTTTAATTGTCTACTAACAGAGTTGGTGTGACTTCAAGCCAATTTTCAGCAATTTTCAGTCTTGCTTTTCTTATTTGATAGAAATATTGAGCTAATCTTTAACAAAATTGGCTTCTTTCAAATGGACAGCTATACTGACCCCTAAAATTAGGTAGCATTTGAAGCTACAATAAAGTACTACTTCCAGAACTCTCATATTTTAGGGAAACAATTCTTTTTTAAGATAATAAATTGCCAAAACAATCATGATACTATGAATAAAATAAAATATCTGAGATTTAAGTTAATCATGCAAGCAAGTTACATTTCCTCCACACCATAAAACCAAATCAAACTTTATTAGAGTCATACCCCATCATATTCTGCACCGTCTACATTCCTTCAGAAATTGTCCAGGCCCCTTAGTCCACTAAAAAAGAATTTCCTCAGTTAAAGGAAATAAAGAGTTCCTTTGATTTAAAGACAAAATTTAATGAATTAATAGCATAGTCAATAACTAGTGTGGGGTACATTCCTTAGCTATTTAAATTATTTATTTTGTTTGTCACTTGTCATTTTTAAATACAGCATTAAAATCTGTTGTCAATACGACGCTTAGCTAAAAAAGTTAAAATATATGTATGGTTGATGCAGAGTTGTATATCATTAACTGTCTTCTGCAAATGATAATTAAGTATACAGGTAATCCTCAACTTATGACCTTAATGGAGCTCAATTACATCATAAATCATTGCATTTATAAGTTGAGGCATTTTGTGACCTCATGCAAAGTTACGACCATTTTTTTACAAAAATTGTTAAGCAAATGCATTTTCCTCAGTGGGCATTTTTTGTTGGGACACCAGAAGTAAACCACAGAAACCAACAAAAAAAACCATTGTAAATCACAGTCATGTGTTGCCAAATACAACAAATGGCCATAAAGGTGAACCAATTGTCAAGTGCCATACAAATGTGATCTCATGATTGCAGAGGGGGCAACCAACAAAATAGATTGTAAGTAGTTTTGGGGAGGTCCATTGTTACTCGGAATGGTAATTAAGCGACCAGTCATAAATTGAGGACTACCTGCACAGTACAGGTAGACTTACAACCACAATGGAGCCTCAAATTTATGTTGCTAAGCAAGACAGCTGTTAAGTGAGTTGCGTCCCATTTTATGACCTATTTTGCCACATTTGTTGAATGAATCACTGCCGTTGTTAAGTGAGTCATGGTGGTTAGGTGAATCTTGTGACTTTGTTGAATTCCAGCTGAGAAGGTTACAAATGA